TTAGGATCTAATAAAAACTGCTTTTAAATACTTGAAATTTTTTTCTAAATTATGTATTACTTAAAAAGTTAGTCATTTAAGTGTAATTATAAGTTGGTTTTTAAGTTTAATTATAAGTTGGTTTTTAAGTTTAATTGTAGTTGGTTTTTAAGTTTAATTATAAAGTTAGTTATTTAAGTTTTATTATAGTTATCTAAGTTTTAATATAGGTATTTGTCTTTATTATAAAGTTAGTCAAGCCAATGTTCTTTATTAAGTTAGTTATTTAAGTTTTATTGTAAATAAAGTGTATACTAACTAAACATTCATTTATTGTCGGAATAGCATTCTTCTTCAATCTGACCCTAAACTCACACTTATCAAAAAATTCTTCCTTGAAGTGAATAGAGCACAACATGCTATTCTGTTTAGGCTCAAATTAGTCTTTTCTCACAAATTTACACCAAATTTTGAGATATTGTGGGTCTTTTGGAAACCTATAATAAAAAAAGTTAAGCATTCTAAAAAAAATTCTAAGTACACTCCTTATACTTACTTATGAAAACTTAGATATTTTCTTACGCTCTTTCACTGAAGAGTTTTTACAATTAATTTTGGCACACTTAGTCATGATTTTTATACAAATTAATAAAAAAATAACGTCGAAATATTTAAATTTGAACAAAGTTCTGACAGCTCTTTGACAACTATGACATGACCACTAAGAGAGGGGGAAGGGGTGTCGTTTTCTTTGGCATGTCATCTCCATAGTATTCAACCTCATTGATATATTTCAAAGACATAACAACTAAGAGACCAAATTGTTTACATTTTTATGTGGTAAATCATTATTCCCACCAGATTCTCGTTTATTGCGTCTTTGCCGATTTTATCAGTCTTTAAAAATTATTTGGAGAAATTACTTTCGAAAAATAAAATTTGATGTGCCCTGTAACTATAATTTTATATTATATAAATAAAAATATGTTTTTAATCAAATTATTCTTTGAAGTTTTAATATAAGCTAAATTTTTATTAAAAAATCAATATTAATCTAAACAAAATATTAGGGTTTCGAAGACTCCGTAAATACGGCAACGCTGAATATCTTATTTTACGAATTTACCTCCGAGCAATTACTATTGCTCGGAGGAATTTACAATTTTTATGAATGAAATGTAGTACCGTAACCAGCCGCAACGTTGCCAATCGGGTATAACAGCTATTTTGTATTTCTGACAGTATCTGACAGTTTCTGTGTGACTTATTGATTTATTCATTTATAAAATACTATTTTTGTGAACTTTTGTGAGAAATATAAAGAATTATGGTACATGTGTAGTGTTCAAAAAGGTAGATCATTTAAGTCGAAATGTATGGTTTCATCGGTAAGTATTTTTAGGTTAAGATATGTTGTTTTCATTTTAACCATTGGAGTAGGGCACCCATCTTAAGACTGTTTCGACTATACAATTTCTTGTACAAGATTTGATACAATTTCTTATAGAATTTAAATTATATAGGATCACATAGTAAATTGTTTGAAAATTGATTATCCAATCTAATTTTTCAGACAATTTACTGCAGGTTTAATAATATACAATTTAAATTGTACAAGAAATTGTATCAAAAACTTGTGTAGTCTAAAACAGTCTTAAAACAGTTTTTAGAATGATATTCCTTTTATAAATTAGTAAATTTTTCTTATACCAATAAATAATTATTGAATAGTGGCAAAGAAAATTTAACGTAACATGTAGAATACCTTAAAAATGATTTACCTATTGAGCACCTATACATATTTTTTATTATTCTATTTAGGTTTCCGCAAGATCCTGAGAAAAAAACTTTGGTTTTCTCTAATAGGAATCCTTGAAAATCAGACCCTTCGTAAAAACCCAGAGTTGTGTTTAGAACAGTGTTTTCCTGAAAATGTTTTGGTAAGTGCAAATGGTACTAGATATATTAGAAAAGATGCAAACTCCAGACGGTGTGAGGGCTTTCTATTTTTGGATGACTTATCCAACAGGTAAAAATACAAAATATTAATTTTTTGTTTACCTCTAAACATTATTTATTACCTATATGTATGTATATCTAATGTATGGGTTTCTAGTTCTGATTCAACTGTTTTTGGAACACCACCTGCTGCAAAAAGAAACATTGCAGTAAGTTATAACATTAATAACTAAGCATAAAAAAATTAAATGAAATTTTAGTTAATAAAATTAAAGTATTTTATATATGTAAAACGTTATTTTAAAAACTTTTACAGTTTTTTTACGATATTTTTTGCCATACCATGTGTTTTTGTAGTTATTAATTAAAAAGTTATATATTTTTAGGACAGTATTTTATTTAGATACCCCTACTTACTTAATGTTAATTTAAAATTTTAAATAATTTTGGTTAACATCATACCAGGCAAATATATAGTAAATGCCAATTAACTATAAACCAATACATTTTAAAAATCGAAAGGTAACTTGAATTCGCTTGTATTTGAATTTACTTGTACTTGAATTTACCTACATGAAAAATCAGCAAGTATCATGCAAAACTATTGCCATATAATCTGATAGCCAAGCAGCTATTAGGCAATTCTCTCACCAGAAATCAAATCACGACTGGTGAAATACTGTCTAGAAGACCTGACAGAGCTAAGTAGTTAAAAGAAGGTGACCTTAGCCTGGGTTCCAGGCCATGAGGGATATCAGGGCAACGAAAAGGCCGACGAATTAGCCCGAGGAGTCTCAGATAAGGCCATGACAGGCCCCGAACCCTTCTGTGGAGTTGCTAAGGCATTGTGCAAGGCATCCATAAAACAATGGATGCAAAAAGAGTCTCAGTAATAGTGGAACAACTATCCAAGAGTGAGACAGGCCAAACAGTTCATCAAGAAACCATCGGCCAAGTTCACGAAAGACTTACTGGATCAAAAGTGTCAAATCGTTAGGATAACAGTAGGCCTTCTTACTGGATACTGTCGCCTCAAAAGGCACATGAGTGTCATAAATCCAGCAGAAGAAGCAATTTTGTGCAGGTTATGTAAAGAAAGAGAGAAACTAATATTCCACGTCCTGTGCCAATGTGAATGCCTGGTAGGAACGGGGTTTCTAACATTGGGCGAAGAAAAGCCAATTGCATGCAACTACATGCGGGAGCCACTGTTAAAACTACTAAGACTAATAAAAAAGACCAGGCTAGACGACATACTCTAAAACACTGTTTACAACGTTGCTAGCCGGTCCTAAGAGATCTGTCTTTCTCTCTTCCACACACTAACAATTTTAAAACAATAACAGTCCGCAATTGTATGGGATTTATGAATGAAACATTTTGTCTATATGTTGTAATGTCTTTGATATATTCTTAGTTAGAATGGCATATTGAGATCACGGACTTTGGCAACCTCCTTGATGACATAGAACAAGAATCAAAGTAGGACCTATGATCTAGGGTCATGGATATTAATTAAAGGTTTTAAAATTCACCCCCTCTAAAACCTACACTTTAGGGGGGCCATACCGGGAATTCAAAGTGGGAAATAACGTTGTCTAATAACCCTCAAAGCCTCGGCGTGGGGCCTACAATACATGCAAAAACCCTCTCGGCACCCGGTCTAAGAATATATATAGTAAAAATTAGGTTGTTATAAATTTCTTTCGTATATTTATAGAAAATTCACGATTCTGGCTTCGAGTAGTAAACTAATAAACAATGATTACTTTTCTTTTCTATATTTAACACAAATGAGTTAAAAAGATTATATGTCAAAGATTTGGGGTTGAGGTAAGTCTTTTGTTGCTATATATCATATAATTATTTTTACTAATGTTAGTCTTTTTTTTTTAGGTTAAAACAAACAAAATAGCCCTTTAGATACAGAGATTGTAGCGGCACTTCTAGAAGATTTGCTTTACAAAGTGAGTGTAAATTACCGGAAAAATTAATGAAATTAAGTGTAAAAGGCAATTGATTATTTTAAATAAATTATATCTTTGAGTTTTAATTTTCAAACTTATGTCTAAGGCTTATCTGTAACTTCCAGGGATCCTCCGTATTTTCTCGTTCAATATGTACACAATTTCCATCACCATTTGACAGTACAGAGTGGATTCAAGGATGGTTCTGCAGCTAAACATCCATACTACAGCAAGAGACAATTTACTTAAAATTATTATCCGATGACTCTTGACATGAGTAGGTTTACTAGGTAGCCAGAGGTAGGTATACCTTGACACGGTCATACTATACCTAATTAAATTGTAACTGAGCTAGTTAAAAAAAAAAACTAACAATAAAAGGCCTAAAATAATGATTTATTTTATGTAAAATGATGTAAGAATTATTATTTTAACTAATTTTATATCCAAACTATATTTTAAACCTACCTGGGGTGGTATGGGGCCAAATGTGGCTTCCAAAGAAGCGATATAAATTAAATCGAAAATGTTATATGGATTTTTTTCTATCCACAAAAGTAGAGTCTTGTTTATGTTTCCCAAACAAAATACTCTTCCAAATAAACTTTTTCCCTGTGAAAAATCCGCAAAAATGCGAGAGCAAGCTTCCTCTGAAAACGTGCTTTTCAAAAGGAAGCTTGAAAAAAACCTGTCCGTTTTTTTTTCTTAATACCGAGTTTATCAGCTAATTCTAGTGTAATTTGATATATAAGGTTGGCCATATGATAATTTAAAATAATTAGATATCTAATTAATAAGTTCTGTGGTTCTTGATGAGAATAGGAAGAAAAAGTAGACTAAAATTTGACCTTTAACTACTCATATTTACAACTCGGTTTTAAAAATATGTCAATTTAGATTTAAAATAAATTATTTTGAAGAAGATAAGTAATTTTGTTTTTATTCCTATATACCAAATCTTTTAACCCATAACAATGTGTTCTTCTTAAATATCAATTATCGCAGTAATATGCGATATTTTTTTTTTATTTATATCAAAATGAGTTTCTCTACATTAAAACACTGGGAAATGGAAAGGAGTTTGTAAATATTTGAAAAAAGGTAACAAAATACAATATGCAATTTATTGAAAATGTAACACGAGAAAAAAAAATAAATGGTAATAAAACACGAATTAATTGTTTTTGCATATATAAGATTTAAGTATTCCTATTATTTTTTTTGATACCTTCGTGGACACATTTTGATAGCAATTCAACGGTTCATTGTTTTCAAAACAAGATTCTACATCTTCCAGTTGACTAAAATAAAATAATATACTTAATTATTGTTAATTATGCATTTTTTTGTGGTAAAAGAATATTATTAATTCAACTTTACTAACCTGCACTGTTTGCTAATTCCTTCAATATCGTAAAGAGGTAGAGGATTATTATAATTTAAAAAGCATTTGTTCACTAGATCACTAATTCCTTTATTATAACAGCTTCGGTCACTTTTATCAAAGAGATCTGCAAAAATAAATTTAAATGTACTTATATTTTTTTATTGGTTCTATTAAATCTTAATAATATCAATGCTATGCTATAAAGTAATATTAATTTTCATTTAGATTTATGATTATAAACGGGGTAAATAGTGTTGAAGAAACTTTTTATTTTATTTATTAGGTAAAAATTGTAATAACGACAAAAATCCCAATTTGGGTTTAAATTCTCAACATATAATTAAGAAAAAAACGAAAATAAACCAAAACTCAAATGTGATAGATTGAAAATGAAATAAAATGAATTTAGCTCAAAGCCTGAATATCACATAAAATACAACGACCGTTTCCCCTTTAAAAAAACAACTACTCCTTTGGCTAATACCACAACAGGCATTGAATTACATCCGAAGGAAAAACGGCAGAGATAGAAATTAATTTTCAACACTCTCTACTTTGATTTTGCTCACCAAGGAGAACATCATTCTTGGACCGGTTTCGTCCTTATTAGGACTCCTCAGCAAGAAATAGATAGATTCTCAATTCCAGTCTCTAATGGAATTAACAAATGCTACACATTTCACCAGTATACCATAAAGTTGGTTATGAAGAGAATAAAAATTCAAGTAGTGAAAATGGTGTCGCCATCTGTTCTTAGTAAGCAAAATCAAAAATCGCTGTGGTACCTACTTAGAAAACTAGGTAGAACCAAAAAGTACCAATCGGGCAATTTGTAAACGAAAATAAACCAAAACTCAAATGTGATAGATGTAAAATGAAATAAAATGAATTTAGCTCAAAGCCAGAATATCACATAAAATACAACGACTGTTTCCCCTTCAAAAAAACAACTACTCCTTTGGCTAATACCACAACAGGCATTGAATTACATCCGAAGGAAAAACAGCAGAGATAGAAATTAATTTTTAACACTCTCTACTTTGATTTTGCTCACCAAGGAGAACATCATTCTTGGACCGATGATGATGTTGATGTTGATGTTCTCCTTGGCGAGTAAAATCAAAGTAGAGAGTGTTGAAAATTAATTTCTATCTCTGCTGTTTTTCCTTCGGATATAATTCAATGCCTGTTGTGGTATTAGCTAAAGGAGTAGTTGTTTTTTTGAAGGGGAAACGGTCGTTGTATTTTATGTGATATTCTGGCTTTGAGCTAAATTCATTTTATTTCATATAATTAAGAAGCTATATTGAGGAATTATTAGCAGGCTTATCTAAAAGAACTAAACCATAGAGCATTCAATATAAAAACCGATACACGTCAGAGATGACGTCAGTGACAGTCATTGGTACATCACACACACTAATAAAAATAATTAAATTTTATTTTGCAAATAAATGAATAAATTTAGACGCATGGAGTTCATTTTTATAAAATTGCATATTAAAAATGTATTTTTTATCATATCACAATTGTAAATGTACTGTAGGCAGATTATTAACGGAATACTTTCTAGTGAATTTCATAATAAAAGTTGGCATCAAATGTGTCAGCTTTCAATTTTAATACATTGTTGTCAATTGTTATTTGTTTTGTATTATTTTGCATCGATCGATTTCTTTTCAACAAATTATTTGTTATAGTCGACTGTAATGATTTGAAAGAAATATTTCTTTGAAATAAATATACTAAAATAAAACGCAGGTCTGATCGAAACAACGATTTATAATCAACTAAATAAACACAAATCCTTTTCTAACAAAAACCCCAAAAAGAATCATTCCGTGATTCAGCTGTTTTATCAGTACTTGGAACATTACACAACGCCTATTGCTATCGGCAATCAACGTCATGTACAGGGCGATTATTCCTTAAATTTAAAGATCGCCCATAGTCGGCCAAACCTGACGGTCTTTGCGCTCCGCAAAGTCTGCTAATATTGACGATTATCTGAAACATATCAAATTCAAAAATTTTAAACTGTAATATTAATATTTATTGTGAGTCTTGTTCATCCTCTTCGGAAGAATTAGAACCCACAATAGTTCTATAAGCCTTAAGCTTATCAGAAGGACATAATATTCCTTTATATGACAGTCAAGCACGTTTTGCCCCAGGTATATCTTCTACCACGTACCGATCGTTATCAAGTACACCAGTGATCACGTAAGGCCCCTTGTATCTAGGCTCGAACTTTCTACTTTTTCCATCATTTGCACTTTTAGGTGCCTTAACGAGCACTTGTTGCCCGACTTCGTAAGCACGGGGTTGAGCGTGTCTCTTATCATAGGCCCGTTTCTGAACCAGTTGCTGTTCGGCAGTCTGGTCAGAAACCTCCTTTCTCAACTCGCTCAACGCCACAGGCTCGTCTTCGCATACCTCAGCGCTAAGGAATGCGTCACTAACCCCTCGCGGGCGATAACCTAAAAACACCTCGTAAGGCGACTTCCCGGTCGTTGTATTAACCGTTGAATTAATACTTTACTTAATTTTTGGAACTGTGTCATCCCAGCGCTCTTCTTCCTCCGTAGTGGAAGTCATAGCACTGAGGATAACGCGGTTCATTCGTTCCACCTGGCCGTTTGCCTGTGGAGTAGCAGTAGCACAGAGTACATGCTTGATGTTTACGTTACTGCAGTAGCTTTTAAATGCAGTACTAGTAAATGCCGTACCTCTATCGGAGATTTAGCGCCGTAGAACGCCAAACTCTTCTATAATACCATCAAGAAACTTAAGCACGGGGTTAGTACTTGTATTTTTAACGGCCTTCATGAAAACAAATTTGGTAAAGCCATCGACAGCGACAATGAGATATCTGTTTTTCTTTCGGCCGGTTTCTTGTTGTACAAACAGCCTAACCAACAGGAGATATAATTCCGTACATAATTGCGCATGACTGGAAACCAATAACGCTTCTGAATCGCTTCAAGAGTTTTATCGACGCTAAAATGACCAGCTCCATCATGGTACCAGATTAAAATGTTACGCCTTGCTATCTTTGGCACTACATACCGTTTACCTTTTCTTGTTATTCGATAAAGGCGATTATCCTTTAGGACGTATTCCTTTTGGACGTTAATATCTTCAGAGGTAATTGGCCCTTTGGTCAATATCTTATACACCTCGCGACAACGTTAGTCTGTGAGTTGAGCGGATAATATCCAATCATCTTCGCTAACATTCACATGTAATATGGGAATTTTCACAGTTGCATCTTTATTTCGGACTGGATTTCTACTAAGAGCAACTACATGACTCATTTTCGAACCGGGCCTGTACTCGATAGAAAATCAAACTCTTGTGCAGTTAACCACCAACGGCCTATCCGTGGTATTAAATCTCTTTTCATCAGTGTGGAACGGAGTGCATTACAATCTGTCACAATTTTAAAGTGAATACCTATGAGGTATACCCTAAACTTTTTAAAGGAATTAACCTCGGCCAGCGTTTCTAGCTCGTAAGAATGGAATTTTTGCTCGTCTGGTGTAGTTGCTCTACTAAAATATTGAACTGGTTTTAGCTCATGATTTGGTTGAAGCTGTAGCAACATACCACCTATACCAATCTTACTGGTATCTGTGTGGAGTTCGGTTGTCGCCTCGCGATCGTATATCGCAAGTATCGGTCTTGTGGTAAGCCTTTGCTTTAAGTCATTAAACGAACGTCCTTTGTTTTCTGACCAAATAAAACTTTTTTTTTGTCAAATTAGTTAGAGGTTTTGCGATTACAGCAAAATTTTGGATAAATTTTCGGAAATAGCTACTTAATCCAAGAAATTGACGGACTTCGTGAACATTTTTGGGAGTGGGGAATTTGGATACTGCAGTCGCTTCTCACGCTTACTCTTGGAACTTTTTCGGCATCGGCATTCTTGTGTATTATATTCTGAACTAGCGTTTTTAGTTGTTTAATCTTGCGGTTTGCTCTTAATAAGCCATCGCTTTTAGCTGGAGAGCGTGAGCGAGAGTCTGAATCATCAGACGAACTTTTTCTTCTTGGCTTGTATGACCGTTCTTTCGCCTTTTTCTCGCATACTACCTTTTCTGTACTTCGTGTTCGATACCTTTTTTCTGCAGTGTCGCTACTGCTTGAACTCGACGAACGGTATTTTTTTGCGTCCTAATTTTAAACGACCCATATTTTTTTTTACGTTTGGGACACCTTTTATGTCCACAAAAAGAAAATCAAATAAATTGTTCTTAAACAACACCGAAAATATTTTTTTTTTAATCTAATATGAAACACCTTGTATGTCTGCACGTAGATTGGACCTCACACCTGAACTGTAATCGACTGTAATGATTTGAAAGAAATATTTCACTGAAATAAATATACTAAAATAAAACGATTTATAATCAACTAACTAAACACAAATCCTTTTCTAACAAAAACCCCAAAAAGAATCATTCGGTGATTCAGCCGTTTTATCAGTACTTGGAACATTACACAACGCCTATTGCTATCGGCAATCAACGTCATGTACAGGGCGAGTATTCCTTAAATTTAAAGATGCCCTACATTGTATTTTAGATTAAATTATTAACAAACTGTTCTTTTCAGAAAAAAATTATTAGGAATTTAATAGTGGTGTTCGTTTATTGTGTATTTTTTCATTGAAAAATGCCAAAACAATTAAGTAGTCGCTGCAAGAAACTAGTGGCTTCTCTAATAAATTATTTTGAGAAAGCACGTGATAATAATGGGCCTTTGTTACCTTACAGCTGTAAGAGAAGTAAGTTGATTAATAATGTATTACCGTCAAATTAATATAATTATTTTATTTCAGCGTGTCGCAGACGCACTTAATCTCAATTTTTGTACTGTTAGTTCTATTTCACAAGCTGTAAAGAACAGTGAAGTTCTAAAGTCATCACTAATAGAATTCTGAATACCGGTGCTATTCGAGATGTTATTTATAGCATGTACGAGTCTAGTAAGTGTATATGTATGTAAGTGATACTCCCCTTGTACCCAACATTATTGACCACGTGTCAGTGTCAATTGTCAATACTCCTGGCAAGTCAGGACGGACGAACGGAGAGCAGCGGAGGGGAGCAGCAGTCGGAG